TTGCAAGCTGGGAAAGGTGGGGAAGGAGGAGGGGAGAAGCGGAGAGGAGCAAGGGTGGGGAGGGGGGTGGGGGGGGGGCCGGGCAGGGGAAGGGCGGGGGCAAAAACGCAAAAAAAGTGAGGAGGAGGAGGCAAACACCAAAAAGTCAGGCAAAATCAATGGAAGCCGGGCAGGGGGGGTGGAAAATGGAGGCAAAAAACGGGTGGGTCCAACCGTATTAGGTGAGGTAACCCCCAAGACGCCTGGGCTTGTGGCCTCGGCGGATTTTTTCGGCTTCTATATTATTTTCTTGCTATGGAAAAGCTAGCAAGGATCTCCACTCAAGCCCCATATCTATCTATGTAACTGGAATCCAGGATATCTTCATGCCCCATACGGAGTGCTTCCTGGTGACTTGGCAGCCTTTTAACCCTAAACCCTAAACCCTTAAACCCCTGAACCCCTAAACTCCTAAACCCCTAAACCCCTGAACCCCTAACCCCTAAACCCTAGACTCCTAAACCCCTAAACCCTGACTAAACCCTAAACCCCTAAACCCTAAACCCCTAAACTCCTAAACCCCTAGACCCCTAGACCCCTAAACCCTAAACCCCAGGGGATTGCTCACTGAGCAAATCCCTGAAGCCTCCGCACAGAAGGAAAAGGCCTCTGCTCATGGCCCTAAATGGTGGTTGTCTAAATTCGGGTCCCTTTTGAGGTCCCATTATAATACGGCATGCTTATAAAAGGGCCCGAAAAGGGACCCGAATTTAGAAAGCTAGCTAGGGTCCTTTTTAGAAGGGTGCCGTATTACAGTGGGGACCCTAAAAGTGACCCTACTTTACAGAACTACCCTAAATGGCGGCTGTCAAGGACCCTTTGTAAGAAGCCCTGGCTTTCCAGCTTCAGGGTTCAGGGGTTTAGGGTTTAGGGGTTTAGGGTTTAGGGTTAGGGTTTAGGGGTTTAGAGTTTAGGGTTACAGGATTTCGGGTTTAGGTTTAGGGTTTAGGGTTTAGGGGTTTAGGGGTTTAGGGTTTAGGGGTTTGGGGTTCAGGGTTTAGGGTTAAGGGGTTTAGGTTATAGGTGTTTAGGGTTTCGGGGTTTGGGGCGTCAGGATTCGGATTCAGCTTTCGGTCATGGCTTTGCTTTTGACGGGTCCCGGGAGTTCGGGCACCAGAGAGCCCAATACCCCTTAATTAAGGAATATAGCTTAAACCATAATATTGAGGCCCCTGTAATTTAAGCTATATTCTTTAATTAAGGGGTATTGGGCTGCTCTCTCGGGCTTTGAGTCTTCGACTTGCTTGGAGGATCATGGGACTTAGTAAGTAAGGTTATCAGTCCCTTAATTGGGGTTAGAAGTAAATATAAGAAGGTTATAAGTTTCTTAATCGGGGTTATAAGTAGATATAAGTATAGTTACCTTAATTATAACCCTACTTACTAAGTCCCATGATCCTTTAAGTGGACAGATTGAAAGCCCAGGCAGAAAAGCCCGATATAGGGGCCTCAATGACTGCCAATATTATTTTGGTTATTAAGGCCCCTACATTTGGGAGTTTCCGAAAATAGGGGGTACCTTATATTGGGGGTCCTTATAATAAGGGTCCTACTATTTAGGGTACTATATTGGGGTCCCCTATTTTGGGAAACCCCCATTTGGAGCCGGGCCATTCGAGAGATTCGCGATGCCCCGGGGCTCATGTGGTTACACATCGGCTTTTTGCCGAACTGGTGGCCCTGTCCCAGAAACGCCGCGCTGTGGAAGATGGCAGGATCATAGACGCCCCTAGAGCTCTCATCAGACCACCATAAAAGCTACCTATTGCGGACGAAATCTCACATGGACAATGCGTGATGACGTGAACAAATTAGGATTCTCCGAAAGTCGTGCCTAAACCCGGAAGCGCTTGCCATAGCTAGGCAGCGCGTTTTTGGTCTATGTGCTTGGCCTGGTCATAGTCCTCCCACACGCCCTGAACCCTAACACTAATCTCCTTCAACTTGAGTTCTATACCCTTTCTTTAAACCATAATCACCTCTCGATTGGGTCTGACCCGGTTTAGGACCCTGAACCCTAAACCCAGCCGATCTTAGGTCTATGTGCTTGAAACCGGCTCTTTGGAGTACTTCGCGCCTTCTCTGAGCCAGATTTGCTTTGAGTTTCTTCTCTGGAGGCTGCTCAGATGTCATCCGCTACTGCTCCTGCTGCTATTGCTACCACTCGTTCTGACAGGAATAGATGCAGCGGCAGCAGCAGCAGCAGTCATTGTCGTGGTGGCGGTGGCGGTGGCGGTGGCGGTGGCGGTGGCGGTGGCGGTGGCGGTGGCGGTGGTGGTGGTGGTGCTGGTGGTGGTGGTGGTGGTGGTGGTGGTCCTGGTCGTCGTGGTTGTGGTAGTAGTGGTACTAGTAGTAGTAGTAGTAGTAGTAGTAGTAGTAGTAGTAGTAGTCGTCGTAGTGGTAGTGGTAGTGGTAGTGGTAGTGGTAGTAGTAGTTGTTGTTGTAGTACTAGTAGTACTAGTAGTAGTAGTAGTAGTAGTAGTAGTAGTAGTAGCAGTAGCAGTAGTAGTAGCAGTAATAGCAGTAGCAGCAGTCATACGTAGCAGCAGCAGTCGTCGTCGCAGTAGTGGTGGTACTAGTAGCAGTAGTAGTAGTAGTAGTAGTAGTAGTAGTAGTAGTCGTCGTCGTCGTCGTAGTAGTCGAAAACAGCGACAACAATAACAGCAGCAGCAACAAAATCCAGGAAAGATCTTGTCAAAATCAACAATGCAGATCTTTAAAGTAAGATGTACATTCAGGCCATGACGCGACTGCAATCATCGCCAGCATTGGGCACTGCTACTGTGTCTGCTAGTGTGACGAACACTTCCGTACTAACCGTTATTGTTTGACATTCTCGCGAAGACTACTGCAATATTTAATTTGCTGCATGGTCTTCGGGAGTCTACGTGGTTCTTGCAACCGCAACTCAGCGTTCTAGATGGCACGCTACTAGCCACATGACTAAATGATTTTCTGGCTAGTCTAGTATCGGGGCCTCAGGCCTTGCTATGAGTTGTTGCTCTCTCACATCCTCGCACGCACTCATAAATCTCACTTTGGATGGCCACTGGAGGCCATATCCTCGTTGAGTGTTCGGGACGCTGTGGCTTCGGAGAGAAGCCCAAAGAGTCCAAAGTCTCTAAAGGAATGTTCCTTAAATAGGGATCTGACTCAGAAATCCGTAGTTCAAGAGTTCTCCTCGAACAAGAATAACAGATCCGTCAGACAAGCACCTTAGTCAAGGGATATTGGGCACCCTAAACCCTAAACCCTAAGACCCTAAACCCTAAACCCTAAACCTTACATTGGGCTCTCCGAAAAGCCCTTGACCAAGGTGCAAGGAAGGCAACCCGTGCACTGCACGGAGACCTCCAATGCTGTCCTTTGCTCCCCAGCTGATAGAGAGATAGAGATAGTTTATGTGTATATATATATATACATACATATATACATATATATATATATATGTGTATATATGCATGGATAGATAAACAGATAGATAGATGAATATAGATAGATATAGATATAGATATCGCGAGATGGACAAATAGATAGATAGGTATTAAACACATATACGATAAACACGAATCCACGTCGGGAGACAAAATCGGCTCCCGAGATCCTAAGCCCCACACGCAAAGCTAAAACAAGAGTCCAAGGTTTACCAAGTTTGTGGGCCGAGTGGCACCACGCAGCTTGAAAGCACCGAGGAGCAGCTTCAGGGTTTCGCTAGGGTTCCATAGACCAGACGGTTTAGGGGTTTAGGGTTTAGAGTTTTGATACATGGTGGGCTATTCTGGCATGTTATTGGCTGTGCCCCAGTCGGGATTCAATCAGTTTCATTGGAGTTTAGGGATGCGACCACATGGTCCTGTGGTGTTTCTTCTAACTTCCCGATCGGGCATCACGGTTTAGGATCCTTGTGTGTGGTTTTGCTAGTTGAAGTACCCAGACCCCCAAAAAGATCTAAAAAATAGATCCCCTAACTTGGGACCCTAACTACTAAAGGGTACTTTATAGGCACCCGCTTTGGGGATCTGTTTTTTTAGATCCTTTTGGGGGTCTGGGTACAGGACCAGGATCAAGAGTCGAATTTGTACTGTTCGGGATAGTTGTTCGGATGGTGGTGGGAAGAGCGGCAGCCGCAAAGCATCTAAGAGCAGTGGTTATGGTAGGAATCCGCCCGGAAGCACAGGAAGAATAAACATGCAGATCAGAAGACATCCCACGAGAGTGGAGCGATGAGGAGGAGGAGGAGGAGGAGGAGGAGGCGAAGCATGATGATGATGATGATGATGATGGTGATGTCAAAGATGGTAAGCATGATGTTGACGACGGCGATGGTGGTGATGGCGATAATACGCCTGATGGTGGCGATGTTGCTGATTATGACAGGCAGTTGGATGGTGACGATGTTCCGATGCATCATCTGTCTCCGGCGCTGCAAAGCCCACCCTTATCCTTGCAGCTGTTGCTTAAAAGTTACTGTCCTTAGGGTATGGGGGTTTCGACTGTGAGGCTGGTCACTTGACCGCCACCTTCGGTACCTGTTTCTATGTCGGCATCGACTGTCAACAGTGGCTTGCCATGGGCGGTCGCGAGTTGAATCTTTGAACAAAGCTGATTTCTGTGAAGTCTTCGGTTGTCCGCTCTTTGGATTTGAGGGTTTACGAAGCTTGCATGCCGCTTGCCCGCTACCCTGTCTTTGTCCGGAGATTGGGCCCTGGAACAACATCTGCACTGTTTGCATGCTTTAGACTTGGCTGAAACCGGCATGTACGCATCAGTCGACGATCCTAAAGACTGTCAGAGACCCATTTTGATGCACAAAAGCACAGGTTTGTGCATCTTAAAGGGTCCACAAAGTAGGGTCAGCAACTGACAAGTCAGTAGCAAATAGCGAGCATCAGCATGTACGACCATATGCGCATGATCACGAAGAGTGAAGATTGAACAGTAATGCAGTACTGGTCAGTTACTGGTGACAACGGCAGCTATGCTAGCAGTAAGCCCCAAAACAATCGCAACACCGATAGCAGCAAGCCTAGGCCTCAAAAGCCTGACGTAAGCCCAAAACCCTTGAAGTCCAGATGGCCAGTGCATACTTGGAGGATCATGGGACTTAGTAAGTAAGGTTATAAGTCCCTTAATTAGGGTTATAAGTAGATAGAAGTATAGTTACCTTTCTCATAACCCTACTTACTAAGTCCCATGATCCCTAAACCCTAAACCCTAAACCCTACTTACTAAGTCCCATGATCCCTAAACCCTAAACCCCTAAACCCTACTTACTAAGTCCCATGATCCTTTAAGTAAGCCCCAACCCCTAAACCTAAACCCCGAAGCCCCTCCTGGAGGTTGGCTCCACGGATGCTCCAGGTCTTGGAAGTCCGGCTGCTCA